AAAGCATGTTTAATAGGAGTAATAATGATTACAATAACGATAGCGATAATATATGAAGGATAGACGGGTGAATTGTGGTGATAAGTAATACGCATTTAATAATTCATTGTTATAATGATTTCGATGAAGTCATTATTTAATTATTCGCACACTTGAATAGATTCGTTATTTGTCATTGCAAACTTCATTTGTTGAATCAATTCGCAAAATGAATTTAGATTCACACCTTAACTTTTGATTAACTCAGACTAACAACAGTAATATTTGGTATCTGGATGTTCCAAAGCCAAGGCTTTAAAAGCTCACCTCCTCGCGTTCTTTTATAAACCACTGAGTTGTGAAGTATCACTACAACTACTATTTCTAACAAGTTACAGTTGTGTTATGACATAACAACAAGCAGTAGCATGTTCATGCCATAGAAGTACTAATTTTGATATAAAAGCGGTCAATTCTTCCGGAATGACTCCCGTAATCTTTAAGACAATGCCTTCAACATCTAACCTTCAACCTTCAACCTTCAACACACAACAGGAACCAGTTCTTACTTTTCTTAAAACAAGAATTTAAAAGATATTTCAAGCAAATAATCCAAATTAGAAATAATTTATGAATTACTTTTTTCAAGTCAAGCTTATTGAAAATGAATGCAATCAATACTAATACTAATAGTTCCTCCAAAAATCAACCGACCCTTATCTGACTGAAAAGTTTTTCGAAAATTCCTGCATGCGATAAATTAAAGAGAAAAATCAAAAATTTGGGAAGGACGCCCAAAAAGTCTGATATGAGGGGGCTGTTTTTCAAAAATTATAACAAAATGGGTACCTGTTTCAGCCTTTCTTTTAGTTTCACTTTTTCCTTTCCAAGGACATAAGCAACATATCGATGTTCACGAGATCTACGGTTCAAAAAAGCCGCAAGCCAACCAAGGGCAGAAGTAAAGATTTTTTGCAGAAAACGTAAGCTTGCTATAAACTGCCCTTCTGAAAACCCCCAGATTAGAATTTCAATAAGCATCCAATATAAAACATTCAAAATATGAAATTTCCAAAATCAAATTTACAACTATTAAAAACAGAGTGAGACAGTGAAAAGTTGTACTAAACAGTTAAGATGAGACTGTAAAGTTTATTTGTTGGTTATTATAGTTGATCCTGGTTTTTCGGTTGATTCAATATCAGGCATGTATTTCGTCGCTGAGTTAATTTCCAGAGTTATTGGTCATCAGTGATATTAAAGTTATGAGTATGGAGAGAATAGTAAGCCATGTCATGTTTTGATTCTTTTATAAAGCCCTTGAATGATTTAAATGATGGTGATTTTCGTTATTTGACGTTGATAACCATTGTGTTTTACCATTTGGTACTAATATTGGCATTTGTTGTAATTCTTGTGATATGATTCATTCTTTTTCAATCCCGCAGTATTTTATTAAGATTTTACTATGTCACAGTAAAACTGCGCAACGGAAAAAGATTACAGAGCTGAACTCCAGGAGACATTAAAAATGCTGATTGTTAGAGACCGATTTATCCAACCAGCAGATTAGAAATTAACGGAGGAGCATACCAGACTTTGGTTCTTCACCGATTGATAATTCCATTACTGTTTTCTCTTGTTGGGGTAATTTCATCTCGTCCGAAACAGCTTTGATCATACGCCTTTCTTCATCAGTTTCAATTCGCTCAGCCGAATTGACAGCATCCAAAGTTTGAGCCAAATTAAGATCACGCTGCATAGCGGTATGCACCAGCTAAAATTACAATATCAGTATGGGTACATGTAAGGGACGCAATATGAATGAAAATGTATGCTTGCTCAGAACTTACAAAACTGATGCTAATATACCTCGCCAATTTCTAAAAAGATAAATTCCAGCGCATAATAAACTAACCTGAGCAGGATCCAATTTGTTAAAATCACCAGCTCCTGGTGTTACTTCTGGAACAAATGTTTCCAGTTGTTCATCCAGTACATCCTCTGATGGATCATATTGGAACATATAATAATCACCGGCTCTTTTGGCTGAAAATACGAAGTTAAGAAGTTTGGTTGTATTGACAGCTTCTGTGTAAAGCACCTAAGTTGGCTCTTCGTAAGATGTTTGTTGATTCTGAGATGGATACTTTCATCTCGCCTTTACTTCAAAAAATTTAAATAAAACTGAATATTACCAGAATGTTTAACAGCAAGAATGCATAACATTGACAACACTATAAATAAAAAGAGAAGGACCTAGCAATCGTTCCGAGAATAATGTTTAACAGATGTGTTTGGTTCAAAAAACTGGAGTGAAATTGAACTGGTTAATAAGTTAGCATGTATGTTAGATAAAAAAGATATGCTGTTAGAAGCATGATTATGTAAACAAAACGCCAAGCAACGTTTGCAGAGGGATTTCTTCAAAACAAACCAAACACTCGGTAATCAAAACGTTCACGCGCATCGCTCAGCCTATACCAAGGATTAGAATTCTTCGGATAATACGCCTCAGTTCCTGGACACACCAAACACAATGACAGTGGATTTGTAAAGAACGAACACTAGCAGAAAAACACAAAAATGAAATAGGTCGAATATTAAGTTTCATACCCTAACAAAAAGTACTCATATGACGCAACTTGCAAAGCTAACAACACCGTTGAGTTTAAAACAGATAAAAAGAGCAGCAGCAAATAGAGAGGAGTGCAGAAACTCCAAAATTACTGGATGAAGTTTTCCCAAGTTTCTATGTTACCACAAAACTTTTACTGAATGAAACACAAAGTTTCACTCAACTTGAAAAATTATGATGCTGATGAACAAATATACAATGCTGGAAATTTGACATCTGAATTCCAGAAACAAGAAAAAATCAACGAGACAAAAAAATAGCGATATCGCCATCCAAATATGAGAATAAAAAGGACAGAAGACTGAAACTTATAAACTGGAAACTTCGCAAAAATGTTAAATAAAAACGGCGCTTAAAAATTCAATTATAAAATCGGCAATTATTGAAATTCGAAGCTGGTCCTAGAAAAACAATTCGAGTCCTCGAGAACAGAAAAAAAAAACTTTAGTAAAAGAAGACAGGAATTCTATCATCCATCGCTAATCTGAAGTCGTTCATTCCAAAATCCAAAAATTTCGGGAATCTTTTAAGTCAAGAAATTACTACTTGATAAAAATATATACTGGAACAAACCCAGCATTCGAAAACATGATTTCTCCAAAGCTGAATCTGCCCCATTACAATGATGTTACATTTCGAAATCTCTAATCTTACTGATAATTACCGGCAGATTTGAAGACAAAAAAGCTAATAGAGATTTTCCATATTCAATCCAGAAAATTCAAGTAGAAACTGAAGAAAAACTCCAGGAAGATGGCATACCTTGGCCATATGTTTGTGGCACAAAAGTGCCAACTTTGCTGAGACGTTTTTCGTAGTCCTTACGAATTTGATCCGTGCGCACTTTGATATTTCTGAATTTCTGCTCTTGTTGTTTCTTCTGTTCTATCATTTCTCTCTCAATAAGCTGGTCTTGAAGAACTGCGCCACTGAAAAGAAAATTCAACTGGTTCAAGAAAGGTCTAATTTAAATTACAATTTGGATCATTAATTAAGGAGAAAAAATCATTTGATTTACTTATTACGAAATATTCTAGTGAATATTCCCAAATGTACTAGCATATTCGAGAATCATACAATACCGATTCATTAGTACGGCTACAGATCGGTACTCAACCACACAATGTTGGAAATACCATGAGTTAAAGACCCGAAGTTGTAACACTAATAAGCCAAACGCAAATGTGTCAAAGCCTATTTGAGTTTCCGATTTTTGCACCGCACATTCTTTGTCGAATTCTTGTTCTGAAAGAAAACCATATACTTTAGCAAAAATCAATTTGAAAACTTCGAACTCACAAATATGAACTTAATAACATACGTTCACTGGGTAAGTAATAGTTGCTTGTTCTTCCAGGAATTGTGCTTACACAAACAATGCTTAACAGCTGACGAATGCAACAAAGATTTGTTTCTATCAGTACGTGGACAAAAGCACATGCGAAAATCTGAAATCCAGAAAATTTAGCTTTAAAAAATCTACAGAAAAATAAAAATGTATTAACTACTTTAGAGTTCCTAATAAAGCAACAAAATTTCCAAATCTGTTTCAAATCAGAAATGTATAATAAAAAACCGATCTCAATAGATGACAACAGAACGAATGTAGCTGCGAACTTCGACGAAGCTGTGTTTCATCAAGTAAGCAATAAGAGAGCTACAACGTTAGCATATGCATAAAGTCCTTTATCATGCAAAGTACCTCACCACAAGGTATGAACACCGGAAATCGGGGATATTTCCAGATAGCAAGCAGCATTCAGTTATTAGCTGCAACGTTTAAACAAAAACGTTTCTAGATTCTATGCGTTTCTTAGATCGGGCAGCATGCTGATATATAGCGGTTACAGTCAAATCAAACATTTATTACGGGAATAATCCAACGTTTCTACATGCGTCTATAAACTATGAGAGGGATATTGCAGTGAGATAAGATCACCAGTCAGCTTCTTGTTGGGACAACTATGAGGGCATCATCCATATTAACAACAGTAAAAAATCGTCACGTCAGAGTCATAGATCTTAAGGTGGCTGAATGGGCTTGATCGATCCTTAACAGCTAAAAGCTTCATAAATTATTTGTAAGTTGCATCGTAATCCTATGTTTTGAGTTTTAGAACGAAGAAAAGGAGATAATACACATCTGATAATCTTAACAAATCTTATCCCTATACCTGAAGCTAGAAGGTAAGAAAGTAGGAGGTGGAAAAAAGTGAAAGCAGATAATGAAACAAAGAATTCTAAATATCTCTTCGTAACAATAAAAAGAAGCGAATTCTAAACCTACTCATCACAGTATCGAATATGATTGGAATCATAAATAAAAGTAAGATTTTTTGGACAGTAAGGGCAGTAAGACAGTAAGAAACTAAGATTTGTTGGGCAGTAAGATTTTGTAAAAGTAAGATTTTATTTCAAGATCCTTACCTCGCTAGCTAGAGCATTCCTGAGTGGTATCAGAAAGGAAGTGAATATATAAGGTAATAATGAGTGAGACCAGAATGGTGAGTAGAAAATGGAGGTAGCAGCTTATAATGGATAAACATGGCTCTTCTTGACGTGTTGTCAAATCTCAATAACATCAAGATCATGTCAGCCAAATCCTAAGTTATCCTGGTAAATCCAGAAATATGCCATCAAGTGTAGAAATAATCACCTGTAAGGCAAGTTTACAAAACATGACAAATACTGTGTAGTACAGAAGTAAGTTCCACCGTTTGAGGGTCTTGCGATAATCTTGCATAATATACAAATCTGCTCCTTGCCAAAGTATCCAAAACGCCAAAGTGATATAACCAAGGGCGAATAAAGATACTCCACCCAGACTGGCCACTAACACCGTTATAATAGTTATCCAGTGCCCGTACATAAAGATAATTATTTTCAAGAAATCGACAGAACTCCTGGAAAAAATTTTAAATCATGCTTCGAAGGTCAAACTGTTCAATGAATATATCGAAATCCAAGAAATTCAATAAAAAAAAGTTTTTGGAACAGAATACTGACTGCTGTTGAGCAATGAAATCATATGTTGGGTTGCTCCGTTTCAGATCAAAGCATTCGCTGTTAGCATAAATGGAGACATTGTCACCTGCTGGTGAACTGCTTTCATTTCGAAAAGCGTATTCCTGAAATGGATTAAATAGAGAAAAATTAAATACAGAATTTTTGAAAATTCAGAAATCTATACGAATAATATTTACCTGACAGGCAACCATTAAAAGGAGGAGGAAGTCGGCCACTGACTTCCTTGCATTTAACTCAAAGCGATAACTAGCCAAATCCAACCAAAATATCAAATTATCATTTTGTAGTGGATTGGATAACCACCGGCTCCATGGATAATCTGCAAAATCGTTGATTAAGAAGCAAAAAATGCATTCACTATTGGTATATTTTCAGAATTTCAAACAAATTTCGAGAATGAGAATGATGAGGTTGAAAAAAGCAACAAAAGAAAGAAATGAATATCATGAAACCGAAAAAAAAGACAAATCCACAACCAGTTAATGAAATTTAAATCAGAATTGAAAGAAAATCAGAATACATTACTGAAAAACTAAACTTCTTTTCCAGTATAAAATAAAGTAACGGAAACACATACCGAAACAGAGGGATGGTGGCAAGCCAACATAGAAGGCATACTGCATGGGAAATAGGACGGCTAAATAAAAAAGGAACACTGGCCATAAGCAACGGCAGGTTACACGAGAGCTTAATACGAAAACCATTAACCAAATAAGTAGAAGCGTAGCCAGTAAATCCATTCGCATCCATGCCACCACGACCATCATCGTCATTGACAACTTCAGTTTTTTAAACCTTACTAAATTTTGTATGAAAAAAAGAAAAGAACTTTCAAGACAAATCATCTCGCTGCTACTTAAACCCTCCCTGAAAGCAATACTACAGTTAAAAAAGGATAACCTACTGAGACAAGAAGTTGCAAACTTTTTCATATCATAGCCACAGAATTAGAAGGGAAATCTTTTGACTTTAGATTCTCAACAGTCATTTTTTTGAAATTATCGCTTTGAGAATAGAAACATCGGCTGCAAATTCCTAACGTCACGATTTCATTTCTTTTTTTTTAAGTTAGTGTAATGTCTCCCATAACTAATTACAGAAAGACAAGTTCACTGTTCTAAGAGCCCAGGGTAACCTATTTCGAAAAGAATATTTATACGTAAAAACCTATATGTGTATCCGCGTATATATAGGATAAAAATTTACATGTTGGTATTGCAGTTAAGATTTGTCAAAATAAAACAAGTACCTCTAAACCGAATTTATAGAATCCATAATTGAACAAAAACTTTATCATATCAACCAGATTATTATCCCAGTTGTTGGGATCTGCTTCCGGAAACACCAGTCCACGAGGTGGAACACTTGTCCCGGATATCAAACGTTTATGTTGCTGGTGATAGATAACAATCGCTTGTAATGTTATTGCTAATAAAGCAACGATTAAACCCTGCAAAAGAAATGATGAAAACGATTTAAAAACTGAAGTTAGTGACAAGAATTAGTTTGGATATACTGTACAAACTTTTGGAACTTAAATTATAATTCATAGTTATATGAAACTAAAAAAAATACTCATATAATCCAAAATTATATGAAACTAAAAAGAAAATCTCTTATAATCCATAATTATATGAAACTAAAAAAAATCTCCACTTACACCAATGTAATTTCCAAGAACGGGTGCTTTGCGAAAACCAAGCCAGTATGCCGTTGCACTTAAAGTATACTCGGATGAATTGCATATCAACTCTTTCGAATATACTGGTAGTGGTTTTTCCACTACAAAATGCATCTGTAAGTTTAGCAAATCTAATATTTCTTCAAGCGAAATATACATTTTACATAAACATGTCAATGTATTCTGTAAATCCGAAGAATATTCCAGCAAAGCAAGAAATTAACCTGATAAATCATTCTAATCGTGACAAATGCTGATATGAATATACATAACAACCGAAACAGAGTCGATGAGATTGCCGGAACACAAACAGCAATACTAGTAAAAATGATTAATGTTAAATTGAGGGCGCATATCTGCAAATATGTAAACTTTTAGTGGAAGGAAGAAATTCGAATTAAAAAATATTTTTCTATTTGAGCATCAAAAATCCAAACGGTGTGGTAAGAAAAGCATTTTCTATCTCCTAATTTCATCAACAAACCAAAAATCTTAGTAACAAGGACAAAGAAACCAAAAACTCGTCCCATATTCGTGAGTTACTCTTATTTGTAACTTTTCGGTAATAAAGCCGATAGGTTCCAGATAAACAATGAATTTACATCGTTGACAGCAACAATAACTAAGATGAACATGACAAGCTTGGCCACATGAGCTTCTGCAATGCTCCATAACACTTCCACCATACAGCTAGCGATATGCTTCACTTTGGCATAAAAATCCTTTTGTTCTGTAATAAGTAATCTACACACATGTATTTAAACTTTGGAATACTTACTGAAGTTCCTGAAAAACTTCATGGTTTATTATAATCCTTAGGAACAATGCTTTCTTTTGAGAGAGAGACTGAACCAAATTATTATCATATGACATCCCAACAACCCATTTAATGACTGCATATGTCAACAATGCTTAGATGAATACTACAAAACTGAAATGGACCCAGAATATTACCAAAGCAAAACGTGCCACAATTTGTCAACGAAATTATATTAGCATAAAATTAACGAAAATTGCTGCAAAACTTGAAGCAGAACAATGGAGAATTACAAGGAACTGTTCGAAACAATAAGTTAAAAATGTAATTTCAGCCCCATTTCCATGAATTTAAAATAAAAACACCGGTATTCCAAGAAACTAACAATTAACACCCACTACTCATTGCATGGAACCAATTCTGAGACGAATTACCTTTAACTAATTCATTAATTGTGAAATGTATTCAAGGGTGGAAAACAAACCTATCTTCACTTGCACGTGCTTTTATCATCTATTTCAAAATTGAGATCAAAATTAAGAAAACATTTTAATAAAGTACAAAAGCAAATAATCTTCCGAATTTGTATTTTTAAAATCAAGTCTACTAACATTTAAACTTTCAATTATTGGGATAAAACTATTTCGAAAAATGCAAGACAGTATAGAACATTCAATACAAAAATAAATTTTTTCCATCACTTAGGTAGAGAGATAGCGGCAAAGCTGATGAGGTAGAAAAACAGTATTGCAAGAGCTTTGCACATGTTTTCCTGTATGGCTTTTCTCACAAATATTGCAAATGTCTTTCTGATTGAGGATAATCGGCCCATAAACTCGATAACATATAGGGGAAAGCTTGGATAATTTGACTGACAGCAAAATTATAATCAAATTTAAGTCTCGTTGACTAAAAACAAGGAAACATGGAAAATTTGAACTATGAAAAACAGAGAATTAGTTTTTGGAAGATGAGCAACAAAATCCTGAGAAGTGCGGATGGATCAAAAAAGGAAGACTGCAACTGCATAGCTTAAATTGTAAGAAATGACCAGAAATATAATTCAAAAACGGAAGTGAGAAATTTTAATAAAACTGTTGGATTTAAATTCTAGAAGCTTGCCGAAATGATCATACATCGTTTTCTTTGGTTTGGAGTGACAGAGCTGATAACGCTATCAACATTCGAAGAAAAACAGAAATGCGCTGCTAGGATGTTGAATTGGATTAAACTGAACAAAGATCAGGGAATCCAAGAAACAAATTTCGTTTCTGTGGATCATGTTCAACAGCCGATGTCAAAAACATTCATAACGGTTTAACGAAATTTGAATAGCTTCATTGTAATTTCCTCAAATTTCGAGTAAGACCAGTAAAGATGTAAGCACGGACAATTAAACTTGGATCAGTTAGCAGCACGACATTGGGCTTATTATAGAGTTGGAAGAGTTTCGGAGAAGTTTCTAACAAAAAAGGAAAAAAAACTTAGAAGCTTAGAATTTCTGCATCCACTTGATTTGTTTTAGGAAAATACTTAAAACAACAATGCAATGCGGAGAAATATATGTAAAACATATTAAAGAAACTGTATTCAAAAAAACTTACCATCAGAAGTTGCTGCAGTTATACCGCTACCAGTTGCGTTCGGAATAGGCGCAACGAAAGGACACCATAGATCATAAAAGAATTTCAAATGCAACATGACCACTATGAAAAGTAAAATTGGTCCAATCAAATGAACTAACAAGGATCTGAAAATGAATATCTGAATACCATTGTATAAAGATGCTAGCAAAAGCATGAAATAACGACTGAATGATTCAAGACTAATAAAATTAAACGTACAACAGAATTATTTACTTGACTCTAAAACTAGAGTCAGATGCCAAGACAATCCTCACCCTCTATCTCCTTCTTGTCTGTAATTGATTAAGCCTATATCGTGATTCCAATCATCACTAAGTCCAGTTGCTTTCTGCCAGATCGACGGTATTGCAGGGAACTGATAACAATATAGAACTATTACCACAGCTAATGAGTATATCGTCAGGAATGTAAAGTAACTATACAAGAGACGTCGTAGACAGTCAAAGGAAAACTGAAAATGAGAAATCACGGCATTTCATGTCAAAATACATTTAGTTGACTGGTTTCTGAAAATTTAAATTAGAAACAGGATAACATAAGCTCCCTTAAGCGTTGTTTCCATAAAAAAAGAAAATAAATTGAACTAACTGGACCACGAATCATTAGATTTCATTTTCCACCTGCATAATTAATAAAGGATATTTCAGAAGTGATTATTAAGTACCGAGTATTAAAAAAGATTAAAAATCGACATTATTACTCAGCACTAAACTAACATGTCAAACATGGCACTATTTTTATACTTCCATCTATGCATATCGATTACTCCATGTGCAAAAAAAAACACATGACTATGAAATTTAATGTATGTAAATGATCGCCCTGCTTGCAAATCTTATTTTAAAAAACCTTATTTGAAAATCTTATCCGTTTAGAATACTAGACACCAAGTTTCAAATTTTTACTCCCAAAAAAGTAAGTGCTCAATTTGCATTGCAGCAATTTTTATGTCGACGAAAAAAAATGCATTGAAAATACGGATATACTGTGTTCAACCTTCTAACCAAACATTCAGTCATCTAACAGTATTTAAATGAATATATCCCTTTTGATTCTTCAGCTGCAAAGAAATTTCTTTTTAAGCAAGATTAATCAAAAGTGAATGGCAACATTTACTTTTTGAATTGAGAAAACTGGAATTACCTCTAAACGGAATGAAACTGAATTAATGATGTTAAAACTCAAACTGTTAAAAAAAAGAGAAACATACCAGTAGCAGGACAATTAGCACACTGAATGATATGAAAAAAGCGACAGTATACAGAACTGGTGGTGAATGGATTGAAATAACGAGCAGAACAAAACTGACAACAAAAATCCAGTATTTCGCTACAACTCTAACACCCACTGATGTACTCTGCAACAAGTAAACAAACAATCAAACCATTATCTTTCGCAAATAAAAAAATAAAATTTTCAGGTTTAATAAGCAACTTTTATTTCTAGATCCGTAAACCAGGCCTGAAAATTGCAAAACTGCTTCTATAGAAGAAAATCGAAATCCTAATAGAAGCCTATTTTAAAATCAGGTGATAAGGGATAGAAGCATTAAATGCAAAAAATCAAAGCATAAAAAATGCAGAGTGCCAAAAACCAGTAACAGTGTAGTAAGACACCCCATAGTGGAGGGTAAACGATGTAAGTCAGGAAAAGACAATCTGGAAACGTTAAAACTATTTGTCTCATATTTATCATCAAAATCTGTCGAATACATGCCTATATTATGCAAAAGAAGCTTCGAATTATGTAAGAATATGTGGTCCGGAATAAAAGTTAGGATATAACAAGTCAACCACCAAACTTACTCGAGATGATGTTGCCTCATTACCAGATATGCCGATGGGAACAGCTATTGAATAAATACCATACATTCGCTCTTGTTCATCAGCTCTAGCTGGACGGCCGTATTTTTCACGAAAATATACCCAAAGCAGCGCAAACAGCGGTAAGCTCAATAAACCCTAGAAGTAGATAAATTGCCTTAAGAAATCAAGAATGGTGAAATATAACGGGAAAAATATACATCTGAAGAAAAACCAACGAGAAAGGATACAACTTCTGACATGATGAGTTTTAATTTCGAAATCCATTATTTAAAAGTGTTAAAATCTCACCGATATGATGCAATAAAACCTTATTTAAATGGGTTCTGATTTTTTAATGATGGATCCTCCGCCAGATACTTCACTCATTATCATGATAAACTAGTGCTCACAAAGTCTAAATCATAACGTACTGCAGTACATTCAATTGCTGTGGGTCTCAAGCATTATTTATCAAACGATAATAAACATCGGTAGTCAAGCTGAACGTAAAAGCGGCTGCAGAAGTTAAAAATTATATAAATAACTAAATTTAAAAGTCCTCCGAAGAAAAATTTAAAATAAAACAACCTGAAATATCCATCAAATCTATAACGTATTAATCAGTGTCTGATTATAAAATGACCGCTAGCAGTAGACTTTACCTGCCCTTCTCACAAGTAAAAAAATTTTTTTTTTTCGCTTCTCTCCCCAACTTTATCTCGTCCCCTCTAAACAATCTGAAAGAAAAAACAAAAAATCCACCTCAGCTTCTACACTTAAAGCTAATTTATGCATAGATAAAACAGCAGCAAATTAAAAAGCAATCGGATCATGCATAAACAGTCTTTCCGCCGTTGTTTACTGCTACTGCTCTTTTGCTCCCTTTTTCACGTCCTTCTATGGAACTTCTGTTTTGCCGTCTGTCGTTTCTTCCCACACTGATTTTTGTATTTCTGTACAGGAACGCGTGCAGTGAATTTCTTCCATTCGTTAAATGACTCAACACTGCTTCACCCTTTCATTCCTCTCCAGGTATAACATTCACAGACAGTTGTTAGTAACTTATTTTATCACTTTTGACAAATTATCGACGTCCTTTAAATAGGATTCAAAGAAAATACATCAAATTTTTTTTCAAAAGTAAATGAAGTTCTACAAGCTGAAGAATATACAAAACACTCGACCGATCAAACAAAGAGCAAACCTTCGTCAAAAGAGTAATGAACGCTGCAGTTCGACTGGGTGCGAAAATGAAACCAGCAAGTTCTAAATAGCTTGACTGCGGTACTTCATTTTTGACATCCATGCTGCATACATACTGCACAACAAGTAGGAACTAAAATCGAAACTTAAATATCTGCAATGTTTAAATCATCATATTAAACTTGTTCTCTTAGAAATTTATTCACTGATAAAGTTATAATGAAGTGTTTAAGATGACGTCCTTAAAATATATTCAATTCTCAGGCATTCAAAACAAACATTAATGTGATATCAGCGGTAACAAAAATTACTTAAACCACAAAAAGAATAAAATACACTTCAACATATGCCGTGAGTGGTGGTGATGCTCGAAGTGCCATAGCGCGTGTGTTCTTGAAAACCAAAACGGTACAAACTTCTACTAAAAGTACGAGACCAAATACTGAGTGGTACAAAAGTGCCCACAACTGGAAAAATGATTTAAATAGTGATATTATGAAATGTGTATTCTGAATGATAACTGGATATTCCAGACTTGGGTATATGCACAAGGCAGTTCCTCATAAGCTTTCAATCAGAGATTGCATTATAAAGCTTTTGACTGGTTTCTCGATTATATCTGTTGAACAAGTTTCCAGTTGATTAAACTGCATGCTCAAATTATAATCGGATTGACATTAAAACGAGTTATATTGGGTCACACTTGAAGATATATCTAATAATACCTCCCAATAAAAAATGAATGAAATTCACTAAAAAATCAATATATCTAAGGAAGGTAATCACTCATGACTTCTTGTTATGGGAAAAACAAGAGCTGAATTCATGTATTACCGTCATAGTCGTTAGTGAAAAAATATGGAGGTGATGGGAAATGAAAGTTAGTGCAGCACTGAATCCTTGAGATATTGTTTCATATCCTCTCAGTTCTGGAAAATTTGACTTAAATTTAAATCGGGAGTTCAAATCCAATATTAATTATGGAGTTTTTAGATTAAGAAAATTCATATTTTTTACGTGAGGTGTCATTTGGATAAAACTGAGATGAAGCAAATATGAAAACAAAATATGTAGTAAATTACCAACAAAAACAGTGGGCATATCCTGATGATCAGCATGACAAAGGTTAGCTTGATGTAGATTTCCGACATAGTGAGGATTGGCGTCATCTGCAAGGAGCTGCAAAAGAAAAACTGTTTGGCGTAATACAAACGGGAACTTGGATTTGAAATACATGATTTGACAGAATGGAAGCAAACAAATACGATTCAATCCAGATAGAAATGTTGAAGGGTGCGATTGCAAATGATCAGCAGTAAATGCTTTCGATGAAACAGGAAGAAGTCAAATCCAACAAGCAATACGCATATTAAAAAAGAAGTAAAAATATGTAAATCAAAGACAGACTGGGAGATGCTCAAGCAAACAAAAGCACATATTAAATGGGAATTAAATTTTGAATTTTGAACTGAAACAATTAGTTACATATTATGGGTTGCTAAATCATCACAGCACTTTCCCCACGCAACATTCCTCTTTTCCTGAAGCTGCATTTTCGTCTTTTCATTATCCACATCAGCATCTACTCCTTGAAATGATCTGTACCTTGGCATGACTACATTCTACAAAGCGATTCAAAAATATTGAGATATATCCGGAAGTAAGCAAAAAAAATATCATAAACTCTGAAATTCAGACTCTCTTCTGTTGCCTACTAACATTTAACACTAATTTTCAAATAGGAACAAAGAGAATAAGTAGCACCGGAAAGGAGAGAAAAATGAAAACAAACCTACTTTACAATTAAACCAGTGATACTCAGTAATGGAAAAACCAATAAAAAAATCAGTAAAGAAAACTGAAGAAATCGACGGAAAATTCAAAAAATCGAGAAATAAATAAAAGTGTATGCATAGTTGAACATCATCGAGAAAACTCTGGATACAACAGTTAGAACCAACCCTTACTTCTCTGTGCATAATGCTTCCAGTGCCTTCACAAGCCCTATATTCACGATGAATTCCACATTTTGTTAAACCATACTGCATAATCAAAAGGTGATATAAAACTAGTACAGCTATTATATTGGTAAATGATGTCCAATAATCAAGTGAAATGATACTCAGCGACCACCAAGCATTGCAATCCGTATATAAAACTGGAACAAAACCAAACAAACTGCAATAAATAGCAGTTAAAAATGTTTAAATCTGAAAATATATTCGAGAGTACTCAAAAAACTTTGAAGTGAACTGAACAAACTTTGCTGTAAATAATACGGTTTAAGGCATTAATCTCAGTCTTTATATCTCAGTCTGTGGTTTGCATCCCAGTGTGTTGAAACTTTTTTCTAATAAAGACGAATGGGTAAAGTAATCAGAAGATGACTGCCACCGTGTAGAAATGAAATTTATACAGTCGAACAAACAAACTCGGTTTTGATAAGAAACATATAAAAATCATACCGAGCAAAAAATGACTGTCCAGGTAAGATGATTTGAAAGAATGGTATTTGATACATATAAAGCAGCAGGAAGTGTAGTGCGCAATAGCAGATGACTAGACGTTTAAGCCTATTGAAAATATATCGGTGAAGAGGTTTGTGCAATGCCCACCACGTTGCGACAAACAGAAATGTAATGAAATAAACGGAGCTGAGAATACATGGCTAAAAATAATTAATAAAAATGAATAAGCCCTTCTGGGAAGAAACCCCTGGTTTAAACTTTATTAAATTTGAATCTGGCTAAGATTCAGAATTAAAACTAAATTACCAAAACTAAATCACAAAACATTTCAATTACCTGAAAAATGCCGACTAAACCGACAGCCAAGATTACTAAAACATCTGAGAGCTTTTTGAGAAACAAAACCATTGCTTTAGTGATGCTTGTTTTCTCGGACTCAATAATGCTGAAATGAAGAAAAAATTAAACGTTTACTATGACTCTACCAATATGCGATAGATCAAAACACCTAAACCTCAAAATACATCGAAAAAATGTAACGGAGCAGAGCAGAAGTATTACCTTGAACTTTCCCGTACTGCTTGCACGTTAGTGATACGAGTGCTACTTCTGGAATCATTACTCCGATGAATAAGGAGGCAACAAACAGTAGTTGCTAGAGAAGCTGAAAATGCCAGGAACTCAGGAAGAACTACACGTATTGTGTCGAAGCCAGAATAACGTTTGATTCTGAAAAGTAATGTTTCCTTGCCATTTTAACAAGCATTTTTGGTCCCACAGTGCACCATTCCATAAAGAAGATACTCATCCAGCAGTTAAAACCACTAATGGAATTCTCTTAAATCATACAGTTAATACAAAAAATACTGTATAAACATAATAAATGCGATTCTGGCTGGTCGGCAAAAATTATATGCTTACTTAAGGAACAAGATCTCTTATCCAGAACATTTTTCATTGCATCAAATTGCTAAGATACCTAATGAACTTATTACGATCCATAGGAATCGAACATTTTGATATGGCTCTTTTTCAGAACTACCACCCAGTGTCACTGTGAATACAGAATAGTGATGGACCATGCAAATACTTATTTTCGCTTTAAAACATAAATCAGTGGGGTAATGGAATATCAAATGAGGTTTAACCCCCAACAGAATCCTCTAGGAATAAACGCCAACATCACTGATGTGTAATGTGTGGCTAGCAAATAAGATATTTTCTTTGCGCATTAACAATGCACTATTAATCAATTAATCAATATACCTAATTAATCCAATTTGTCGTAACCAAAAGTTCCAAACTGATATATTGCATGTTTTCGAATACTCGTCAATATTTGGTTGGAAAAACGATTCATAAATCTGATAGCTCAAGTGAACAACGGAAGCAAGGGATGCTGTTACCAAGATGGAAATAAAATAAACACGATGCGCTCGTTGAACTGGTGCCGATGACAACAATGGTCCCAGATGCGGACCAATTAAGGCGAAAATAACGTACGCGATAGAGATAAAGCTTGGTCGAATTAATGCGCCTGGAAATAATACAAAAAGACTACCTAATAAGCAGTAATTCATATCATATGTAATAATTATACAATTATTAGAAAATATGCAAAACAAGGGAACGATTCAATTATTCAACTTCCTGCTTCAAAATCAAATTATAATGAAGTTCTCATATAATCTTAAAACAAACCAGTAAGTAATGCTATCGGAAGAACAAATCGATATAAGGACGTTTCTAGCAAAATATAAGCCATATTTAACTCTGACAGTCAGTTAAGGTTATCTTTGCATTGCACTCTCTTCTTATCGTGTTCACCTGAAATATTTCTTTTTCAGGAAAAAAAAAGAGAACGTACCAACTGGAAATACAGTGCAAGTAGCAATGTATTAAAATATGGGATATGAGGAAAAAATAATCAAAAGCGCCTTGAAAAGAATCGAACAAAGTAAAGCATGTGACGGAAAAATTTAATGACTAATTCAGTAAGTGAAATGATTCAGCTAAGAAGGACTACGGAACAGACGGATTCATCCAACAAACCTATATTCGCGTCCAATTTTCGGTAAAATACTTCGAAATAGTTAAGACGTGAGAACACCTAAAACTGAAATTCTCAAGACTCAAATATAAGTATCCCACGAAAATTCAATGAAATAAATAAAAATTGGGAGTTGAAGATCTTTTCGTAAAGCTAATTATAAAAGAAAGAATTTAGTTACGAAATGCAACCACGAAACAACAATCAACGATTAAATTAATCTACCCTACAAGAACAGGACGAGAGAACTACAGAATAATGGGAAACGTCAAGGAAAAAAAAGTGGATATCGAAAGTGAAGACACCAACTTTGTTGACGTGCGACCATGCTTTTTTGGATGCGAAGACTTCCTACAACTAATTTGTAGAAAGGTGATTATCTCTAGACGACCGATTATTCAGATTAAACAAAGGACTGCAAGGAACACACACTAACGGGAGGGACTGAATACACACAATGCAATGAATGCACCATTATACACCAAATAAATGACTACTCGAAGAAGCTGATGATCAATAAAGCGCCGCTAGCGAGCAACTATTGTTTGCATAGGTCTCCACAACTCCTGCAGCAGTGAGTCTTCAAACTTTTGGGCACGTGTACCGACATGGAAGACCAGATGGGAGGTTGCAGAAGCTGATAGCAGTGAAAAAAGTTTCAAAGGCATAAACTCCCGGAAACAAGTGGATTATTTTGTTCCTCGTGTATCCACATGTGCGGCAAATTTCTCTAAACCTTTTATTTAAGCAAAATGGCGGGCTTTAAGCTTCATAGAAATGCAATTATGTGCCATGATACCAGTAGAAATGACAAGCTTTGTAACCATTGTGACTAAAGATTGGGAAGTAATTGCGATACTCGTATTTACTTACTGAAAACGGTTCAAAAACCAGCACGTAGCCAAAATTATGAAATTTGAGGTGACTTTGACTGGAAGAAAACATAACGTTGATCGGGAAGCGAATTGAACCGTACTTCGTATCGTTTATGGGCTTTCGTCGATATGCCCCATTCAGTTCTTAATCCGCCTTCCTGTTAGAATTATCTGTATACGATTAGAGTCCCAACTTCTATGGTCAAGATTCAGACTTTCTACTTGAATAGGGTTTGTCTCAAGCAAAATGTAGAACTTTCTCAAAGATGGCAGAAGAGTGCTGAACGACATTTGCAAACAGTTCACTTCCATTTGCTTAATTCCCTGCTCGAAGGGGAAACACTCTAAGTGGCTTAATGAGTGAAAGCATGGACTAAATGAAAGATGACAAAACACAAATACTCCCTGATATTTGAATTTAAAAAAAACAATTGATGAATGTTATGTTTAGTACAGGACGGCAGAAGCATACAAAGTATAGCCTCGGAATGAAATTGAAGCAAAATATACGTGACTGCTGCGCTAAATATTAACGAAACATGATATAAAATGAACTTTAAGCAACACATGATAACTTCGTATGGAAAATTTGTAATGCACATGTGGAGAACTGGGTTGTATTGCGGTTATCAGTAGTTTGAAATATGCTGGTCACAATTATTAACTGTACAATGTAAAGTCAATGAAAAACAAAAAAAAAACTTCACGCAAAGACTTTACTAAATACACTATATACAAAACAGCCAATAAAATATCCCAAGGTGGTCGTAATAAGTTTCTCTTGTCACATGCCAATTCCAGACAAATCGGTGCATGTTCTGTCGTAGTGTGATGGACATCAGTGAAAAAAAAATGCGCAACTACTACAAATAAGCTCGTTACCACGAAACGACGACTGCTTTATATCAACAATAATAAATACTCATATAAATACAAAAGAAAAATCGAAAAACTCCCGATCAAAAAACTTTGGGTAAACAAAAACATCAGTAAATAAATCCTAAATTTCTTCGTTTTCTCGTAGTAACATTTTCGATCAAACAGTACACATCTCAATTATACCATACAGTCCGAACTTTCAATGAGAATGACAATCAAGAATGATCGAAAACGCCAGAGTTCCTCAGTATAACAAGTATGGTAGCAGCGGCAACAACCATTAAACAAACAACAATGATAATAGTCCATTTTGCATTCTTCACACAAATTCGACGCTGAACGCGTCGTGCTGTCCATTGGAAGGTTTGAGACTTCAAAAAAGAAATTTTACAAACCAGATAATTTAATTGGTTTTAAA